TCCTTCTTTGCACTCTTGAACTAACACACTTCTATGGCTTAAACAACACAGATTATAGTTACACTTCTGTGGGGCAGCTGTGACAGATGCTCTCCCTGAGTGAGAACCAAGCCTCACACAAGCTCTCAGGGAGGACCCCTTTCTTTAATCTTTCAGCTCTGGAAGCCCCCTCAAGGTGCCCAGTGAGTGATAAATCCCACTGTGATTATCAAGAGCCACCTCTTAGAACTGACATAAGCCAACTGTGGATGTCATCCACAGAGAAAACATCTTCAACAGCATAGAAGGACTATTTAAATGAATGACCAATTAAATCAGCCCAGACATTCTGAACTGCAAAGTAAAAGTAACATTCTATGCTTCCTCTAGTTGGCAAGGATCATCATCCCCTTGAACCTACTTAAATAAAATTAAGTAAAAATTAAAGTATTTTTAATTACAATTTTTATTTTAAAAATAAAAAATAAAATAAAACTTAGTTTAAATAAAATTAGGATTTTTTTTCCTGTGTGCCCTAGCCACTCAAAGATAACTTCCTTTAGAAGGATAAGAAAGACATGCTTCTTCCAACTGTACTGTGTAATATTGAAAATACATGGCTAACACTTACCCCAGAGACGATGCGAATTTGACAGGTTAACTCTTCTTCATAGTTTGTGACTTTTACACTATAATATAATCTAAGTGAACTGAATAGTCTAAAGGGAAAAACAAATGTTGACATGCACACAGATGCATAGCTCTAAATAAAATGTCTCCATCCAATCCCTCCCCTCAGAGCTCAGGGAACCCACAAGAACAGGAGGCAGAAGAAGTTGGAAAGACAGAGGACACCAGGAGAACAAAGTGCTCAAAAATAAATGAGTGAGCTCGTATGAACTCAGAGAGACTGTAGCCGCAGTCACAGGGCCTACATGGGTCTGACCTGGGTTCTTTGCATAGATATTATAGCTTTCAGTTTAGTACCTTATTCGGCTCCTGGATGTAAGACAATAAGTCTCTGATTCTCATGCCTTTTCTTGGGGATCTTTTATTTTTCTGTTGGCATAGCTTGTCTGACATTGACATGATAGCTTTCATTTTATCTTACATTTTATTTTGTTCAAAAAAAAAAAAAAAGCCAGGAGTAATCTTGTATAGGTTGGCCAACTCTGCTGCCATCCTGGTCCAGATCCAGCACTTTGAGTCAGTCCATCCCAACATCTACTCCATCTACAAGGTGCTGTGGCATGTGGAGGAGTGATCCTGCAGAACCAGGTGTCATCACTGACTGAATAGGCCCAGTCCTAGGTCCCTTGGCTGGGGCCCAGCCTAGAGCTGCTGCAGCTGCAGCTTGTGCTGCTTGTCCTGCTGGGAGATGAAGGGAGAGTGCACAGTGGTGCTTCTGCAAGCTACAAGCACAAAGGTAGAGCCAAGTGAGCCTTGGGAAGGTTAACATCAAGCATGGGGAGGTGTGCAGCAGCCTGCAACTTGGTCAGAACCTACCCTCTGATGCCCTGAGTAGCTGGAAGTTCACCCTGACTCTGGGCAACAGCAGGATAAAGAAGAGTTCTAATGAGGTATTTTCCTCTTAGCCTCAAACTCCTGGAATAATGACTCAGTCTCAAAATATATTTACAAATACCTAGTGCATACAGCTAGGCTCATTCCCTGACTAGCTAATAATTTAAAAATAACCCATTTATACTAATCTATATCCTACCATGTGGCTGGTTACCTCTGCTCAGGAACCATGAGTCTGCCCTCCTCACATCCTCTTCCCATGCCTTGCTCTATGCCAGAATTCTTTCTGCCTACCAGATGTCCCACTATCGATTCTATCCCTTCCTGTGCTGCGAAGATTTTTTAGTTGACAGGTGATGCATCCATACAGTACACAGGATATTGTCTCTATAAAGAGTCCTGACAATGGTCTAGCATTTATGTTGCATCAGAAACCAAAAAGCCTTGAGCCAAACCAACAACTCATTGCCATGAATATTTTTATATATACACATATATGCTGTTATGCTCTGTAATTTTCTTTCTTTCTTTCTTTCTTTTTTTTTTTTTTTTTGGTTTTTTGAGACAGGGTTTCTCTGTGTAGCCCTGGCTGTCCTGGAACTCACTCTGTAGACCAGGCTGGCCTCGAACTCAGAAATCCACCTGCCTCTGCCTCCCAAGTGCTGGGATTAAAGGCGTGCGCCACCACTGCCCGGCTGCTCTGTAATTTTCAATGCCAGTATGACAAAACAAATATGTGATGAGGAGGTTGGAGAGGTGGGAAAGATGGAAGAAAGTCGAGGTGGGTGCAGTGGAGAGAGAAGGAACTAGAAACTCAGTGGCAATGATAAGTGTGAGAGAAGGCTGTGTGTTACCACCAAAGGCCATGCAGATGTCCACAGTCTATGCTGCTGCCTGAAGCCATGATGAATTCACTGGTCAGGCTGCAGCTGGGGACCATATTAGTGTCCTTCACCCAGAGGCCATGTTTATGTCCTTGGCCTGTGCTGCTGCTGAGGGCTATCATGGTGTCTGTTGCCCATGCTACAACAGAGGGCCATGTTAATGTCTGTGGTTTGTACAGGCATCAGAGACCATGCTAAGATCTATTGAACATGGTTACCTGAGACTGGAGACCATGTGCATGTCCATGGTCCGTGCTAGCACCAGAAACCATGTGGAAGTCCATGATCCATGCTACTGCTGTCTATAAAGAGTAGGAAGCTGCTTTTGGAGTGGAATCAGTATCTGCAGACTCACAGGTGAGAAAAGGGGACATAGAAGGCTTCAGTGACAACCCTCACCCTCACCCTACCCCAGCCCTCTCCATAAAAAGTAACAGCCAAGACGGGAAACCATCAAATAGAGTTCTTAAAAAGTATGATAAGGATGCTGAAATATAGCTCTACAATTGATGGCTCCTGGCTGGGTATGGCTGAAGAAAGTTTCCTTAAACAGCTGGACACTGGAAATTTGACCTTGCTCCAGTGAATACATATAGGCAACACAAACTGGGCTAACATTGGGTGAGGGAGGTCACAGATGGGAGAGCAAACCTGAGAGGTCTTGGAAGTGAGTGTGATTGGGGTACATGACGTGAAATCCCCAAATAATTGATAAAATATTATTTAAAAAAAAGAGAATAATTTAGTGCCAGCAAGATGGCTCAGCAGGTAGAAAGGTTTGCTACACAACCCTGATGACTGAGTTCCAACCTTTAGCCACAACCATCTGTAACCTCAGCACTTTTGTGGCACAGTGGTGGTGGGGTGAGCACAAGAGTCACCCTGAGACAGAACAACAGAGACAACAAGAGACCTCGATGGAGAGCCAGTTCCTAGAAAGTCGTCCTCTGTGAGTGCAAACACACATGGACAATAATAAATAAACATTTTATAACTTCTTTAAATAATTTAAGGATTATTTGTGTAGAACATCTGTTTATTCCTACTCTACAAAAACATGAAAAGCCTCTCAGATTTAGGCCTGGTTAGCAAAAATACACTTCTCCGATAGTGTTGAAAAAGGGTAACAATTTTAAAAACATTTCTGTATTCACTTCGTAAGTTGAAGAAATTCCTGATCAGTTTCAGGATCTCTGTAACAAAAAAAAAAAAGTGTAAGGCTGGATTGATTGAAATGGGAAAATACACAAGATCAATAAAGACTGAAGCAGTCATTGCCAATTTAAAAATGTAAAAAAAAAAAAAACAAAAAAAAAAAAAAACGAGACGTGATCTTTCCCTTAGCACTCCTGTCTGTCTGTCCATCTGGGCTTATGCCGCTGCTCAGTAGTCAGAGGAGTATCCCAACCCCTCACCCTGTTAGTTATCAGTCAGCCCAAGGGAAGCAGAGACCAGAGTAGGCAAGACCTGAGACTGAGAGCCCTCAGGACCCAGAGGATAGAGCAAGGAGCTTCAGTCTCCAGCACCTTTACCGTGTGTTCACTATGAGAGATAACATTCATCTGTCATGACTGGAGCAGGGAGCCCCGCACAGGAAGAACCTGAAAAAGGAAGGTGCTAAAGGTTACCAACAGAAACTGTTCAACAGAAGGTTCTGAGACAGCCAGAGATGGAGACAGGCAGAGGCAGGAGGATGCCCCTGAAACTCCAACTAATACGACATAACAGAAAATGTAAAATATCAATATATGGTCCAGAGGAAGTCACTTCCCCCTGAAGTCTGTGGTGACTGCTTCCCTGTCAAATAAAGTCTGTCTTCAGAGGCTGGGATGGGGGTGGAGGAGTCCGGAGTGAGGACGTTGACAAGGAGGAAAACAGGGAGTTTGTAACTGAGATTGAGTCTATTGCTCAGGGCTGAAACTCCGAAACTACCATACTTCTGCCTTAGCATGAATAAGTGGGCTGATTGTATCTGAATAATAGAAGTACTCTGTAGTGGTGCACCACTGTCTGTCTCTTCCCATCTCAGGGTTTGGTACTCTCACATAGCTTGAAAGGGGCCACGGTGGACCTTGGTGTACGCTAGAAATCGGATGAGGAACAAGGGCAAAACATTCACAAGCACAGTTTGGCAGGCCACACTGCACATGTATAACAGCCATAGCCTCCTCGGCTCCCACCTAGTTCCTGTGGGTGCTCATAGATTTCCAGAGTGGGAAAGCAGGTCATTTCGCGTAGCAGTTTATTTTTGTTCGTGACAAGGAAGAGAAATAATTACATCAGCCTGAGCATTATTTCAAAGTCTAAATTCAGATCTTCTGCGATTGGAAACTGTCAGACTTAAAATAAGACACCCCGGGAAGGTACAAGAAGTCTGCCTGAAAACAAGCATGCACCAGTGAATGGTTAGCGCGGGTTGGAAATCCCGAAGGACCAGCATCTTCTTCCCAGGCAGGAGCTGCCCCTCCCCCCACCTCAGTTACTCCAGGGCTCAATGGAGGAGGGGGCTGGGTGATTCACGCCAGCTCCGGGCTGGAGAAAGCTACGAGCTTCCCACCACCGCCACCATATCCTCCACCCACCCATTGCCCGCAGGATAACGAACTCGGAGTCATGGAGGCCTCCTGGCTGGAGACTCGCTGGGCGCGGCCCTTGCACCTAGCTTTGGTGTTCTGCCTGGCGCTGGTACTGATGCAGGCCATGAAGCTCTACCTGCGGAGACAGCGGCTGCTGCGCGACCTGCGCCCCTTCCCGGGGCCTCCTGCCCACTGGCTCCTGGGACACCAGAAGGTAGATGGAGGGAGGGGAGCCGCAGGATGCTGCAGAGGAAGCCCACAACCTAGCCGCTGCTTCCATCCCTCCTATGCCGTTCTGAGCTATTCTAGGACTCCCAGCCCTGGGGTGGGAGAGGGTGGGGTGCTTCTCAGCTCCTCTGCAAAACTAGGGACTCTCTCATCCCCACCCACCAAGGGAAGGGTTGCTAGAGACGGGGTTATTTGGGAAGCCTGAATATTGTAAAAGAACACTAGGTGTCAGCTCAGTCTTCAGTTATCTTGGTATGTCTTTTACGTGTATTGTTTAAAACTCAGTATTTGCTCTAACTCATCCTTATTAGTTGTAGAAAATGTGCAAAAGTGAACGCAATAATTGGCCCCCTTGGTCCATTCAGACAAGGAAAGAAAATATAATTGTCTTTTTAAAGCTTCCTGTAGAGGCGGGAGTGGCCACACCCCATTGCTCTGCGGATTCTGGATGAGGAAGGTTTGCTGAGTGCAAGGAGATCGAACATCACTTGCTCCATGTCTCCTGCTTTTCAAATCCACTCCCTACCCAGACCGATAAATTCTATTAACCCATTGGGAATAGCAGCTGTGTGTGATAAGTCCTAGGTCTACAAAAAGAAAGTGAGTCTTTTCCCTGAGTGGCCTAAGTAAGGTACAGACTTGAGCACTAAGAGAAAATGAAAATCCTGCGTTGGGAAGGATGATGTGCCTCCTCCTAGGATCCCCCGGGGGCCGGGGGCCGGGGATGGGGGAAGAACCGCTTCTGTGAAGAGCCTGCACAAATTCTCCAGGAATGGGTGGGCTGGAAAGCTTGCACTGGGTTTTTTGCTCCTCGGTTTCCTAGACTATGTCTCTGCCATGTACCTACCATACCCATGTGCCGTCTGCTGACTCAGGGTTCCTTCAAGTACACTCAGATGCACATAAACCACGCTTTCTTGTCTTGTCTTTCTTTTTTTGTCTCTCTCTTTTCTTTGTTTATATATGTTGATTGTTTGGGAGTTTGGATTTCAGGTTTGATGTGGACAATCACTATAGCCCAGGCTGTCCTGGAACTCACTATGTAGCCCAGGCTGTCTTCAAACTTGCAGTGATCCTTCTATCTCTGCCTCCCAAGTGCTGAGATCACAGGCATGAGCCACCACGCTTAGCGACAGCATTTTCTGCCTTCATTCATCCAGTAATATACACTTAGGCTGATTCCTAAGTCAGCCATTATAAATTAGAAATATATGCCATAGTGAATATAGAAGTCAGATGTCTTAATGAAATAGTAATTATTTATTTTGGGCATATACCCAGCAGATGTATCATTGAATTTTTTAGATTTATTTATTTCAAGTGTATGAGTGTTTTTGCATGGATGTGTGTATACACATCATGTATGTGCCTGGTACCCACAGAGGTCAAAAGAGGACATCAGATCTTCTGGAGCTAGTTATGGATGGCTGGGAACTGCCATGTGGATTCTGGGAACCAAATCCAGGTCCCCTGTGTTAATAGTAAATGCTTTTAACTATTGAGACATCTGAAAAAATATGTTTTTAATCTGGCTGTCACAATTTTAGTTTCCATGAGTTCTGTCTTATCCTCCATTTGTTCTTCCACCAATTACCTTATATTACATAAACACATCACACTTTGACAATAGCCATTTCTTCCCCTCCCCCACCACACACATACAACAAGGTTTCTTTGTGTAGCCCTGGCTGCCCCAGAGCTCAATATGTAAGCCAGGTTGGCCTCAAATCAGAGATCCACCTGCCTCTGCCTCCCAAGTGATGGGGTTAAAGGCATGCACCACTACCTCCCAGCAACAATAGCCATTTCTATTATTATTATTATTATTATTATTATTAAGGTATTTTTATTTACTTTTTACTTATTCATTTTACATCCAGCTCATTGCCCCCCTCCTGATCACCCCCTCCCACAATCTTTCCCCTATTCCCTTTCCCCTCCTCCTCTGAGTGGATGGGGCCCCTCTGGGTATCTCCCACCCCCACCCTGGCACTTCAAGTCTCTGTGAGGCTAGGCACTTCCTCTCCCACTGGGGTCAGACATGGCAGCCTGGCTAGGAGAACATATCCCACATGCAGGCAACAGTGTTTGGGATAGCCCCCACTCCAGGACCCATATGAAGGCCAAGCTGCACATCTGATACATATGTGCAGGGAGGCCTAGGTCCTGCCCGGGTATGTTCTTTGGTTGGTGGTTCAGACTTTAAGAGCCCCAAGGGTACAGGTTAGTTGATTCTGTTGGTCTTCCTATGGAGTTCCTATCCCCTTGGGACTGCAATACTTCCTCCTATTCTTCCATAAGAGTCCCCAAGTTCTATTCACTGTTTGGCTGTGGGTGTCTGCACCTGTGTGAGTCAGTTGATGGATGACACCTCTCAGAAGACGGCTATGCTAAACTCCTGTCTGCAAGCATAACAGAGTATCATTAATAGTGTTAAGGATTGGTGCTTGCCCATGGGATAGGTCTCAAGTTGGGCTAGTTTATGGTTGGTCATTCCCTCAGATTCTGCTCCATCCCCAATCCCTGCATCTGTTGTAGACAGGATAAGTTTTGGGTCAAAAGTTTTGTGGATGGGTTGGTGTCCCTATTGTCACCTGGGATCCTGCCTGGTCACAGGATGTAGCCCCCCTCCCAATAGCTATTTCTTAAGCTCAGTATTGTTTGGGTTGGCCATTTGAGCTGAGCAATGTCAAAATTTTTCTAAGTAACTTTGGCTAGGCTGACTAATGTGCCACAGTTCACAGCAGGTTAGATAAAGGCTGGCCGTTATTCTAAACTCCTTGGTCTCTTCTGCCTGCTGTATTATCTTTCAGCTGGATAGCTGGATAGCTTGACCCCGCTTACCTGGTGTCAAGGTTCCAGGATAGCAAGTGAGCAAATCTGGCCTTGCAAGCAGTTTGTAAACCTCTCAGCCACATTTGCTGTACTCACATTGATTGACCAGAGCCATTCATGAAATCAAGTCCAGAGGCAGAGTGGAAGAACACAGAGCACATTCATATTCTATGTCATATCTTCCCTGATGTATTGTAGTTTTCTGTAATTTTCTAACCCCTGCATACTTTTGTTTCCTTCCTATTTGTATATTGTTATCTTTAACAAGTTTCTCTCAAATTTAGCAGCTTAAAACAACAATTTTTATTTCATGCAGTTTGTATAAGGGCTGGGGATTCAGTAATGACTTCCAAGTGCTGGGTGACACTAACTCCAGGTCTCTAACAAGGTTGTATGGAAATGACAAGGGCTGAAACTGTCTAAACGACTGGATAGACAGAACCCACCTCCAAATTCACTCACATGGTTCTTGATGGGTTTTGGCAGCCTTGCTTCCCTGTACTGGTTCTTTCCATAGGGCTACTTATAGTACAGTGCCCATTTGTCCCAGGATACCTGGTTGTTTCTTGGTTTTATCATCAAAATCCCCACATCCTTGAACACCTTCTATTCCAAACAAGAGAAAAGTTAGCCCTCCTACTGTCAACAAGGCAGCTTCCTTTCCCCAGGACAAGAGGAGAGAGGTTAAGATGGAAAAGTCAAGAAAGAGGCAGCAATCTTTTAAAACCTAGCTGGAACTTATCTGCCACCACTTCTGCTGTGAGTAATTGGTCACATCAACAAATCCCGGTACACTGTGAGAGAGGACAGCACAGAGATGGGATCTTAGAGGCCATCTTGTTGGTGGCTACCACAGTGCATTTAGCTTTGTGTTTTCCATGATAGGGGCTGTCCTCAAATGTCATGGGATTTGAGGCTGTATTTTCTTATCCTATGAGACGCTACAGAGGTTTGGAAGTCTTTTGCACTCAGAGAGAACGTTCCTAAAGAGTAATGTGTAAAAGTCACTGTGGGAGGAGCAGAACCATCAGTATCTATCATCCTTTTACAGTTACAGTTACAGAAGAACTGTCCTTTCTGCTCCGTAGGAGGATGCCTGGTGACTTGGCATTCTGGAGTAAGGAGGTGAAGAGCTAGGACATCTGATTTGTTAGACAGCCTTTACCTAGGTCCTTATTGTGGTTCAATGTCTCACTCTTAACTTCCACAGTGCCTAGTTTCTTCTAACCTCCAAGTTTCTCTGGCTTGGTTTGTGTAGAGAGCAAACTCTTCTCATTAAGTCCCTTTAGGCAACTGAAGTCTATGCTGATTGAAGAGAGACCTGAGATTCCACCAGCACTTCCTTCAACCTGTCTCTCCTTCACACCTAACTCACTCTTCCTAACCTTCTCAGTCCTCAACTTCTGTTTACTCTGTATCTCATTAGAGTTAATTTTCAACCCCACGCTTTCCAGAATTTAATTAAGAAGTTCTCCACTGAAGGCTGGAAAAAATCTGAAAATTATCTCACAGCTCTACCCTACCAACTACTGAGAATGAAGTATTAAAGAGGTGATTCTCACAAAAGGCAAAGAAATAACTTATCTCCATTCTGCTTTTTCTCAGTAAAGTCTGCAAGAAGTCACAAGTTGAATTGCTGCAAACGTTGGAAGTACCCTTGATTTCTGTGATTGTCTCATTGCAGACTGGCCTGTGGAGACTGCCTAGTGCTATAACCAGACTTGCGGCTTTGGCTGTGGATGTCTTTGGGCTTTACTCTATCATCTGTTCTTGCCTTATCAGTTCTCAAGTTATTATCTAGCGTGCACACAAATGTTTAGCTGTCTTCCTAACAGACTACTCTTGTTATTGTGAAATATCCCTTTTATTATGTGAGAATCTTTGCCTTAAAGCCTGCCATACCTCACACTGGTGAAGTTACACTAGCTTTCCTTGGTAATATGAGTATGTCAGAGTTTCCCAGGCATGTAGGGCCTTTTAGAAATTATCTTCTGTCAATACATATATAGTTTTTTGTGCATTCTGGCAATGTTTGTCTTTTTGGTTGGAAACGTTAGTTTATTTACATACAGTATAACATATTATTGACTTGTTGGAGAGATAAACTTGTTTAATGAGTGAAAAAACTGAAAACATATTTGTCAAAGACCAGCTTTGACGTCCAGGGTAAACTGAGGCAGGGGATAGAGTTGAGGGCAAGGACGCTCCCTAGGGGGCCAACAAAGAATTCCTTTGGAGGCAGGAAGAGGCTGGTGGGAAAAACTCCTGCGGGGGGGCAGAAAAGGCCATTAAATAAAAGAAGAAAGGAAAAAAGAGGGGAAAGAATCACACACACACACACACATGCACACGCACACACACTGGACAGATGAAGCAAACTTCAACAAGCTCCAACAAGCAAACTGCAACAGCTTTTTATTCTCCCGCAGCTTGTATGCACCAGAAAACTCTTTCAAGCTGTATAGAAATTACAACGTGACTACATTCTATTTTTCTTTTAGTGAATGATTATTTTTTAAAAAATTGTTTCTCCAATACCTTACATGAAAAACATTACGTAGTACATGTTAAAAGAAAACTCTTCCCAAGAACCCACATACATTCACAACTAAGCAACCTATTATAGATTGAGAAAGTATAAACAAGCAAGGTAATTTTCTCAGTCAGTTTTTCTTACTGGCAGGCTGCAATTTGTAGTTACAAAGAAAGGATCAATTATTTTATTGTTTACCTTAAAAAATAATCTTACAATTTTTTTTAAAAAAATCACAAATCTAAACTTTTATGTAAAAAACAATCAGTCGTGTCTACTCTAAATCCTCAGGGTACGTATCTACTCATTAACAATTTTTTATTAAATCATATCAGGAAGCTGAGGTCAAAAATTCATACAATAAATCAATCATTATCTTGGCCAACAGCCCAGCTTTAGCAAAAGAGGTACAGTTGCCATTGTTCTTGTTCTTGACCTTAAAAATTCCCTAGCTTAACTATTAAGAGTGTGCCTTTCTGAACTTCACATTGCTCCCTAAGATTTTCTACATCAGAGCCACTAGCAAAAACATCTTAACCTAACTTCACTAACAATTTAATTTTCCAAATTCTTTCTAAGTACAGTGGTCATTGCTAAATATGTGTGTGTGTGTTCTTTCCTAGCATAGTGATTGAATTATTAAATTCTTCCAGCAGCAATGTCTAAGAAAGATTAAGCACTATTATTGTGATTGCCAATGATACTGTCCAGTGGGGAGCTAGAAATCCCCTTAGAATCTTCACACATCACATAGACTAGGAAGGATGTCAAGCTTCTGAGTACAACAAGCAGAGGCATGCTCCACACCAGCATGAAGTCCTCAGGATACGTAGTTCTCGGGGCTCTGCCTCTCTAAGGCACATCCATCATGATTGTGCCAACCAGTGGGCTGCATTCCATGAGTTCTAACACCATTTTTGTTCCTCTCACACAGGACTTGACATATGTCACTTAGTGAATTAAGATGTTTGCTGGTCAAAGCTCGCGCCTGGGCGCGAGCTGGGGCTCAGCAGCGGGTGGGGGGGCGGCTCACGGACGCCGGGCACGTGAGACAGGGCGGGGGCCAGGGGCCCCGCAAAGGCGGTGCATGGGCCGTTGTTGTCAGGAGAAAGTGTCCCCCGGCCCGCTAGAGTACAGAGAGCACAAGGGAGGGCGGAAAAGGCTTCTCTCCCCCCTGACCCCCCCTGCGCGGACTTTGACTTACACAATGAGTCCAGGATTTCAAGAGACACGTGGAGATTTATTGACATAACGATGAGTTTGGATGCTGGCGAGCTCTCCCAAAAAATGTCAGAAGGGGTTTGCTTATATTGGAAGCGGGCAGGGCTTTTAGGTAATATGTAAATCTTGAGGCAGAGACCCGTGCCTTACGTGACCTAGCAAGGGCTGTATGTTAGGTCTCTGGGTTCTGGGGGCGTGGCTGACCACCCAGGATTCCACAGCCCCACAGATGTTAAGTTCCATCATGACCACTCCAGAGTCAACAAGAACTTGCCTGAGCTTCATGTTGTGGTCTAGATCTAAAATATCTACATATGCTCACATGTCTAAACACCTACTACCCAGCCAGTGGCAGTTTAGAGAGGTTGGCTGGCAGACATAAGTCATTGGAGGAGAACCTTTGAGGCTTATAGCCCAAGCCTGCTCCCAGTCCTGTTGTCTCTGTTCACTGGCTTTCCATGATTTGAACAATCCATAAGCTCCTGCTGACAAACAGTGAGACATAATGTCATACCTTCCTTGCTATGATGAGCTGTATCCCCTGAAGCTGTGAGCCAAAATTAATCCTCCCTTAAGCTGCTTCTGACTATTCATTATCTGGTACATTATAGGCCCTCCATAAATGCTCTCTGCTTGTGAGTTAATAAGTGTTTACACTGTTAGAAAACGTCATGATGACTTGATGGTGGGAAGAGCAGCATCATTTCAGGACCTAGGTCTTTAAGATCTTGACCTTTTAGTAGGCCTAGGTTTAGGTCCAGAGACAAGTTCATGGATGAGAGTAGTTGACTGATAACACAAGATCTGGATGGCTATTTTCTGCCTCTTCTGAGGATTAGAATAATACCACAGCACATGGTGTGAAGTCACACAAGGAAGAATTTCAACAGCCTTAGATCTCCTCCAAGGTGGAGATATCCATGACTGTGTTCAAATGTGTTTAGGAATCGCAACCATACAAGCATACACCATAAGTAGATGCAAGAAAATCTTATTTTCAGTAATTTACAGGGAGTACTTAAGCCACTAGCAATCTTGTACCTGAAAGGTATGGGTGAGAGAGATGGCACAGTGAGTAAAGTTCTTGCTTTGAAAGCAAGAGAACCACAGTTCAGATGCTCAGAACCTATATAAATGCCAGTTAGGTTTTGTTTAAGGCTCTGGGTTTTGTTTAGAGACCCTCCATCAGAGTATAAGAATGAAGGAGATGGAGAGGTAACTCCACAATTTAAAGCATTTGTTGCTCTTGCAGAGGACTCAGGTTCAATTCCCAGCCCCTGTATCGTGGCTCACAATCATCTATTGATTCTGCAGGCACCAGGCATGCATGTGCTACACATACATACATGCAGACAAAACTAGTATGCATACAAATAAATCTTTAAAAAACTAAAGATTGAAGAGGAATGATTGTGTCCCAACATCAACCTCAGGCCTATTCATGAATATGCAAACATATGTATGTGCACCTCCATACACAGGTATGTATTCAAACATGCATATACACATGTATACATATCACATAGCAATATGATGTATATATGTATATATATGCATGTATATGTATATATATGTATATATATGTGTATATATATGTATATATATATATATATATATATATATGAAAGAAAAGAGAGAGAAACAAAAGTCCCTCTCTAGCAGTGTTATTTGTACTTTGCATTATAAATGCAGGTAGATGACCATGTATGATAGATAGCTCACTTCTATAACCCTGCACTCAGGATCCTGAGGCAGGATTTGGTGTGATTTCAAGACCAGCCTGAGCTACAATATGAGATCCTATCTTCACAAAAGAAATAAGATAGATTCTGGAAGCTAAGAGTTTTATCTATGTGTTTGTTTCAAAGTCCTCTCTGCTATTGCAGGGAAAGAACTGGATGTTTTTGTAGGAGTTGCCAGGTTTGTAGAGAGAAGTGTTTGTTGTTAATGTCATGAGAAAGAATCACTAATTAGCAGTCAGAGAACAGAAAAGGGAGAAGGAACAGTGGTCATGTTCATTTGACCAACAGAAAGCTGGTAGCTTCCAGCATAAGAAAACAAACTCTGCAGCCAGGCAGCTCTACCCCTCCTCTAGGCCTGTGATGTCCTCGGTGGGTGTGTTTGTTTGTTTGTGTGTGTGTGTGTGTGTGTGTGTGTGTGTGTGTGTGTGTGAGAGAGAGAGAGAGAGAGAGAGAGAGAGAGAGAGAGAGAGAGAGAGAGAAGGGGGGATTTCATCATCTCACCCTCTGCTGGACAAAGCTCACAGGATGTGTCACATGGCAAGGATTTGGTCCAATGGTGGAACATGTGTTTAAACTGAAAAACCAAATACACTAGCCTTGTTTAGGACATTATCCCCAAGCTTAGAGATCTTAGAGAAAGACTTTCAACTCCCTACATAAAGGAGTCAGGTCTCTCTGCTGTGCAGCCCAGTGTGGGCCATGAACTCACCCTATGTGTCTGTAAAACAAGCCAACTCAATGCCAGCCCCACTGACTCTCTGATCTCCTGTACTTTTTTACTGTAGTTTCTTCAGGAGGATAATATGGAGACTCTTGATGAGATTGTCAAAAAGTACCCTTGTGCCTTCCCCTGCTGGATAGGGCCCTTCCAGGCATTTTTCTACATCTATGATCCAGACTATGCAAAGATATTTCTGAGCAGAACAGGTAAGGAATGAGATGAAAATCTGAGTCCTAATCCTGCTAGGAGATCCACATGACGCACAGGCCCAGTCTAAAGCAATGATTAGCTGTGGGGCTGGAAGACAGTCTGAGCAAGTATGGACAAGAGACAGATCTTCCCTGGCAAGGGGAAGTCCCATGTACCTCCCAGTTCCTTGTCTAGTTTTGGCTTCAGGGCCCCATAAATCCCAGCTGCCCCAGCAGCATGGCCAGAGGCTTCCTTTGTCTCCTTGCTTTGGGGACTTTTGAGTCAACAACACTGATTCACACTGCATTATGAGCTTAAGTCTCCAGAGGAAATCAGAACCCTACCTCTGTGGGTCTGAACAGAAGCTAAGGTGATGGAGCGTTCACTTACCAGCCCAGACTCTTGGTTATGGTTCAAATTGTTCTCTTCCTTTGCAGAGGAGAGGCCACTCCCTCCATCCATCCACTCTATCCATTTACAGAATTCCTATTCAAATGATTTCATAATACTAATAATACATAATAACATATATAATATATAACAAATATATAATATATAAAATAATACATAATAATAATATGAAATAATGATTTCATAATATGGCCATTTTGAGCTCTGCTATTTCCATTAATTGCAAGCATATCAAGAGGCCTTTGTACTTCACTATCTGGTGTTTTCCAACAAGCACACACATCCTAACACCCATTCTGAAAACTTGTCCATGCCCTAGTGAGCCAGCACTGTTGAAGGGAATAGCAACCAGGGAGAACATGAGCTTAGGTCCTGGAACTCGTTCTTCTCAGAACTGAGTCAAGACTTGGGTTTTCCCAGCCTCTAAGGCTATAGAAAGTGAGCTGGGATTCCCTCTTGCCCACTCTCTGCACTGAGTGCAGGCAAAGGAAGAGAGCCTTCCCCAACTTGAACTAGTCATGAGTGTTTTCCCTAATGCGCTCTCCTCTTCTTGGTTCTGCAGACCCAAAGACCCAGTATCTGCAGCAGCTCATGACTCCGTGCATTGGTATGTATGTGCCACCCATTCTCACTCCAAGTCACTCTTCCATAGCAGAGCATTCCAAAGAGACTCATATCTGAACTCAAAAGCATCAAGAAAGGGACATCAAGTACATGTGACATGAGTCAGAGTGGGGGACCATGTGGGAGAAGGAAGAGAACAATCCAGAGAAGGCAGGGGACACAAGGGAAGTGGGGGGTAGAGGCAGAGGGGGAGTAAACACCAAGTAAACACCGAGTGTAATGACATGTAAATATGAAAATTCCATGATGCAAGCCAGTGTTTTGTATTCCCATCTAAAAATATTATTTTTAAAGTTTAAAATTGGAATCTGGAGACACAAATTCAATCCCCATTACCCACATTAAAAAAAAAACCAAAAAAACAAAAACAAAAACAAAACAAACAAACAAACAAAAAAACAGGGACTTATAATCCTGGGAAAACAAGAATAGGCAGGTTTCTGGGCTGGACAGCCAACCTAACCTATTGGTAAATTCCAAGCTAGTGAGAGACTCTATCTCAATTTAACAACAACAACCAAAACAAAACAAAACAGTGGATGACACATGAACACATGAACACACAACATTTCTAAAGAGTAAGATCTATGAGGAGAGCCATCTAGGAGACAGTTAAGGTCAATCCAGTGTCAAAGGTCAACCCAGCAAAATGTCACAGAAAGCGTCCTTGCCTGTTTCTCTCCTTCAAGTCCCATTTTCAAGGAAACACATGAACTCTTCAGTCTTAGCTCCACTAAGGGAGGATTTAATCTTATCTTCTCTCATGTGCCCTTATATTTTTCCTTTCTTTTCAGAGTTCTCTTATTTTTATATACCTCTCAGTAAAATTTTTCTCTGACAGGCAGTTTGGCTTCATCCTGCAATCAGATAAATTAAGCTGCTTTCTTCATGCCATTGATATTTATTTTAGACCAGGAAGGAATTAAGTGAAAGAGTATAGGCTTTGGATTCAGAGCCCCGTAGACTCACAAGCTGCTTTTCGTGCCAATAGACTACTTGAGCATGAGCTTAGGGAAGAAATTTAATCTCTCTCAGACTCATTTTTCTCATCTTTGAAATGATCATGAGAGTCAGTGCTGCGGCTGCTGAGAGGTGAACGCCGCATTCCCAGCACCTTATACAACAGCTGGCGTTCTAAGAGCACCAAACCAAATGTCACCAAACCAAATGCCATGAACCTGGCATTTTGTAAGCACTCAGAAAGGGATGTCATTCACAAAATCCCAGCACTGAGAGTGAGAAATGACCACAAAGTCCCACACTAACCTAGAAATCATTTGCAATTAATACTGAAAGAGGGAAAATCGGTGTTCTCCAGTGGAGTGTTACTGTGTGACTTAATCACATTTCAGGGCAGGGTCCACTCCCAAGAGTAGGTGGCCATCATAAAACAGACTCCGTGGTTTATTGTGCACTTTGATTTGGTTTGGTTTCATCTTATTTAATTCCTCTACTTTGTCCATTTTGATTTTGGTTTTTTGGTTTTTGATGTTTTTCTTTTTTGAGAGAAAGGAGAAAAAAACCATAAAGTTGAGTAGGCAGAGAGGAAGGACCTGGGAGAAGTTTGGGGAGGCCAAAAATTATGATCAAAATACATTGTATGAAAAAATGTTAATTAAAAAGTGTAAATTATGTTATTCAAACCTAAAAGTCTTACCTTGAGGTTAAATGCCTTGTGTGTGTGCCTTCATTGAATACGCAATGCAAAATGCCACATTCCATCACTGTGGAACTAAGGCTCATCAGGCCTCAGGGCCTTTAAGGCTTTGGAACACTTTCTCACAGCGTTAAACACGTTAACCCTTGTGTGAGCATCAGAGCTGACCGTCCTCATCTGTCAGCTTCTTGTTTTTCACTACTACTTCATGTCTGCTCCTGAGCCAGTGGTATTAGGCTGTCTGTGTTCCTCATCTCCCCTCACCTAATAAAGTGCATGAGGTTATGTTCGTTTTCTTCCTCAAGGAAGAGGACTCCTGAATTTAGATGGGCCCAGGTGGTTTCAACACCGCTGCCTCCTAACTCCTGCATTCCATCAGGACATCCTGAAACCGTGTGTGGACACGACGGCCCACTCTGTGAACGTGATGCTGGTAAGTGAGACACTAGGTTAGACGTTCATATAGTGGATCGAGAAAAATCAAAGCTAATTTCTAGAAACTAATCATAATGCAAGTACCCACTGAGTCGTGATGTCTATGTAAGCCTTTCCTGACTTCTTCAGGTGATTAAAATACAAGAGAGGGTCCTCTGTCTTAGAGTCTAACACTATGTGGTAGTAAGACTCAGATAGCAGGTACTGTGGAAGACAGGTAAGGAAACTACGTGCAGCTAACTGGCTTCAAATTTCAGATTTACCACAAATATAAGCTGATTTGCAGAACAAGAAGCCCCTAGGCAGAGTGATATGAGCAAAGGACTGAGGAAAGGGCAAGTGCCTCTCATAGGTAGTGGGGATCTTTAGGTGAGTGGTACCTTCCAAAGGGGCCTTCGAGGGCCACCCCTCATGCGTGGCTTTCTGGTTTAGAGATGAGTTTTATCAAAAGCTCTATTGACATAGAGGCTTCACTTTTTTAATGTTAAAAGTAGACAACTAATAGCTTCTTCATACACTTCAAATACCACAAAGCCAAATTTCCTTCCTTAAATGCAAGCCCATATTCTGTTCCCAAGAAACAGTTGTTACAGGCTTGGGGCTGGGACAAACTTCTGCAGGAATGGAGTGGGACATCAGTAGGAAGGAGTTCTCAAGGCAGAGACTGGGAGAACACCAGGTTCAAAGAAAGAGGATGGGGACAGGGAGCTAGGTGGGGGATAGCGTCTTCTTCAGCTCTGCTCAGTGCCTGGAACAGTTCAGCTCTGCCAGTGACCACTTCATCCCCTTGTTTCTGCCCTATGCATTTCTCAAGCCCACGTTTCCCTGATCACATACTTCCTCCTTCTGCCGAATGGTTCCAGAGCACCACAAGTTCCTTTCTTCCAAACCTAGCACATGGACTCGTCAGCTCTCCTCAAATGCCTGAGTTGAAGTATCACACTGAATTCTATTAATAGGTACAACTAATATATACTCATTAAAAAAACTGATTCTTTAAAAAGGCTAACCCCTTTAGCTATAAGCCATCTGACCAAATAGTAGACACTTCAGTGAAAGACTTTCAAATTCTGCTTTGTATTCAGTCTCCAACCATTCAGTACCTAATTTGTCACCGGTAGGTACTCAGCATTCAGCACCTAGGCTGACACCTGTAGGTACTCAGCATTCAGCACCTAGGCTGACACCTGTAGGTACTCAGCATTCAGCACCTAGGCTGACACCTGTAGGTGCTCCACAACATAGGTTAAACTAAATTTAAACATTTCCATTCATTTGTATTTTTATACAAAAAGTGTTTGTTGTGATAAACGCATTTATAACTGGAGGATGGGCACTTTGGGCAGGTTAGCAGTCAGACAACACAGTTCAGGCTGTGTGAATAGGCCTCTTTCTGTGAGGAAGTAAGAGCCAGCTCCCTTCAGCAACTCCTTTCCCAGAACTCTTCCTATTCCTAATGTTTGAATCAGAAATATGAAAAATGAAAAAAAAAGAAAAGAAAAAAGAATCAGAAATATGTGTTATTGTTTTTATTTGCAATTTTTGAGTTAAATATAATTATTGCATCCTCTCTTCCTTCTCCCATCAACTCCTTTCGTGTTATCATCCCTTGTTCCCTCTCAAATCTATGATCTTTTTCTTTAATAATTACAGTTACATGTATATATAAATAAATACAAATACATCCATTTAGTGTTGCTAGTATGTATGTGTTTTCAGAACTGACCATTTGGTATTGAATAACCATTTAGGGGCTCATTCCTAGGGGAGACTTTTTGCCTGGTCCCATCAGCCATTACTTGCCTGTAGTTCCTCATCTAAAACTGGGGCCTCAGACGTCCCCTTCCATGTTAGCAGGTCTACTGGTGTTGTCCATAGCTGAATCTAAGATGATTTTGAAAAGCGTTCTGAGTTTACTGGACGTGTGGTGTGGGTGTGATGTTTGCGAGGTGTGATAGGGTATCTAGCAAGATGGAGGGAGCCCCGAGAAACCCCACATGTTGCAGTCTTACTTAGATGGTGTGTGCAACTCTGTACCATTTGTTGCAGAACTGAGACAGTTGTTGAAAGACCATTTGCCAGACATGAAGTGCGTGTCACGCTCTTTCTTACTGGCCTAGTGTGTGCTTCCTTTCCTCATGCCCAGAATAAACACATGGGCGATTTACTCCTGGCCTTCAGTTCCTGTCAGGTCAGGGTTTTGTCCCTGAGACAATAAGGGGAAAAGCAGTCAAGTAAAGGCCATTTGATGATGGTGATGATATTGATCTTGGCCTCCTCTGGCAGGATAAATTGGAGAAGACGTGGACCACTCAGGAAACAACCATCGAGGTTTTTGAACACATCAACTTGATGGCCCTGGACATCATAATGAAATGTGCTTTTGGCCAGGAAACCAACTGCCAGATAAACGGGTCAGTGATGGGACAGTAAACAAGTTCTCTGTGGTCTGAGTCAATCATTAACCCATGGCTCCATGGTTTTCTTCCAGCACCTATGAGTCTTATGTGAAGGCAACATTTGAACTTGGTGAAATCATATCTTCTCGCTTGTACAATTTCTGGCATCATCATGACATAATTTTCAAACTCAGTCCTAAGGGCCACTGCTTCCAGGAGTTAGGCAAAGTGATACATCAATGCACAGGTAAAAACACAGGCATGTCTTGGGTGTGGGTAGCCCAAATCCATGCACCACCATGTCCATCATATGTGTAGAAGGATAGGTTTCATGGTAAGCAAGAAAAGAACTCTAGTTCTTAACGGAGCTTTTATATGATCACTGCTCAAATAATTGCAACTTCTGTTCTTTAAGATAAGTGTGCTCCCTCATTATGCATGTATTATGCAATTTTATTGTATGCAATTATTACTAATATATATATATTAGTAATATATATATATATATATATATATATATATATATATGGAGCATTTAAGTTTGCAAAATGTACATTACATGTGGCTTTCTTGTGCAGTAAATTAAGTAATAATCACAAGCTAAAATGCATACATGCCATAGGCATGTAGGAACGAGTAGATGTAAGTATGTATTCAAAAGACACACAAAAGCTGGATATGGTGGAGTGGTACATCTCCTTTATCCCAGCAGTCAGGAGGCTGAGGCAGGTGGTTCCTGTAAGTTCGAGGCCAGCCTGGAGTTTTGCCAAGTGAGTGTTAGGACTCAAACCTGAGTCCTCTAGAAAAGTAGCCAATGCTCTAACCACTGAGCTATATTGGTCCAGCCCCCAACAGTAAGTTAGTTCACAATTTCATACATGTATACGATTTTGATTATCTTCATTCCCACATTATTTTCTCTTGTTCCCATCCCTCTCTTGCTGAATCCCCTCTTCCAGCTACTCTCTCTCTCCTTCTTTCATATCTTTTTCTGAGTTTGCTGAGTTCAAAAAGCTTTGCCTCCATGAACATGGATGAGAAGCTAAAGCCATGCTGTGTAGAAAATGTTTTTGAAAATCAAGGCATACTATCTTACTTACTTCCATCTAAATTCACATAAGATGTATATTGTATGGTAAATTCAAATAGCAAAATTGACCCCAATTAAGACAGAAAACAAAGTAATTTTGTGAAACGTGGTTGTACATGTTCTGTCTGTCCCATGTTTTGTTTTTGTCTGTCTGTTTGCTTACTTGCTTTTAACCCCTTTAGTTGTGTATGTTGGGTAATTGATCTCATTGGATAATTTCTATGAAAACAAGATTTAAGACTGGGGAGAAAACTGGCCACTTGCATCTAAGTTTGTAATCATCTTGCTTGTCTACTGGTAGAAACTAATTTTTGGTCTCTTCCATTTGAAACTTTTGTAAAGGGTTGTCTATTGATGGAAAGTAAACCACTCATACAAGTTTAATGTATTTAGATGTACCCACTCTGGACTCTGAACACAGATGTGACACTTTGTGTGGACACTGTGTTGCATTATAATGTATTTGACTTTGGTTGACTTAGCTGTCCCCTTTGGTAATGAAGACCTGTTACTCTATGCAGAAAAGATGATCCAGGACAGAAAGAAAATCCTCAAGAATCGAGTAAAACAGGATGACACTCATATGTCTCAAAATTTTCTGGATATTGTTTTTTCTGCCCAGGTAAATGCACCAAAAGACTAGACCAGCTCAAACAGCTACCAACTGTGTGGGAGGGTGGATGAATGGAATCAGGACAGGAAGACAGAATAAACCTCTTTGGTTAAATCCTAGCAATAGACTGCTGTGAGCAATTGGTTCTCAGTGGACTGAGTCCTGCTAGGAGTCGGTGAATACTAACTTACCTGGTTGTCTTTATTTAGAGGTTATGCAATACCTTGAATTTAGAGATTCACAGAAAAATTGGAAGCATGGACAAGCACTTTAAAAGAAAATGTTGAGGATTTAGATAATACCTGGAAGAGTGAAGAAACTTTCCAAGTGCTTACGAAAAGCTTTTCTTTTGTAACATTAGTTCTCCTTTGTGCTATGAGCAAAATAGGATTCGTATACGTAGTTGGTAAACTAAAACCGAAGCCTTTATTTGAAACTATAGCCTTCTGTGAAACTATCATTTTGATGGTGTCTCCAAATATCTGTGATGCATGTTTCATCCAGCAATCTTTGCTGGATGTTGTAGGCTGAAGATGAAAGAGCCTTCTCAGATGCTGACCTTCGGTCTGAGGTGAACACTTTCATGTGGGCAGGACATGACGCCTCTGCAGCTAGCATCTCCTGGCTCCTTTATTGCCTGGCTCTCAACCCTGAGCATCAAGACAAATGCCGGACAGAGATCAGGAGCATCCTGGGAGACGGGTCTTCTATCACCTGGTAAGATCCACAGCCCTGAGTATGTCATGTCACCCTAGCTCTCTTCTTGGGATTTTGCTTATTTCTTATTCTGATACTTTAATGACCACAGTGTCCCAAGGTATGGGTATGTCAAAGTAGAGGAAACAGGCCACTTGTCTCTTCTTTCTAAAGAGTGACCTGAGTTAACCCTATCTTTTGCAAACGAAGTTCACTATCCAGAAGTCATCCATCACTATTTTTTTTCTATACAATGTTGCGTTTGTTTCTTTCACTCAAGCTCTGGCACATGTGAAGTGAGGAACTGACCTCAGGCTTGCATTTGGAGCTTCAAAGACAAGGCTCCGCATAAACTCCTGTGCTGAGAAAGCTGGAGAAGTAGACATTAAGATGGCTGTAGATATGCTAGCCCACCACCTGGTCACTAGTGTCATACTTCAGGAGAGGGCAGACTTTGAACACAATATTAAATAGTACACTTAGTTATTGAGTTTTAGAAAACTTAGACTGCCAGGTAAGGTGGCACATGCTTTAATCCCAGCACTTGGGAAGTAGAGGCAGGGGGATCTCTGTGAATTAGAGGTCAGCCTAGTCTACAAAGCAAATTCTAAGACAGCCAGAGCTGTTACACAGAGAAACCCTGTTTTGAGGCAGAGAAGAGAAAAGGTAGACTGAGGACATTTTAAAAATGGAGACACTAAAATAATGACTAAGGTTTGGTACAGACCTTGTCCTCAGTGATCTGTAGTCGATAAGGCAAGAGAGAGGGCATCGTACTGTAAATTCAAGTACTCATGGTAAGGGCAATGACAGAGATATTTGCTGACTACCAGATTTAGAAGACAGATTCCTACCCTGGCCAAGGATGGGAGACCCTTAAGGATCAACACGTCTAGGAGAATAAACTAGGAGAAAGTTTCAACTCTACTTCACCAGAATTAACATATTTTGCTGCTAATAAACTTTAGATAATGGACATATTCCTCAGACATGCTATTTGAAAGAAACAATGTATCCCTGATAAGTCATTGCCACTACCCTAGTCAAAGGTACAGAAGATAAGCATGCCAAAGACCACTGAGCCACATTTCACAAGCGAAGATTAGCTCAGAAAACAAAACTTCAAGTTCTAAAGGTAAACGAAATTCCATGTTAAAAGTAAAGAACCAAGAGTCATTTTCTACCGTAAATTCAAAGCTTCATCTAAGGAGAGAAGAATCTCCTTCATCTGGTAAGATGGCTCAGCCACTAAAACACTTGAAGCACAAACATAAGGACCTGAGTTTGATCCCCAGTATACACATTAAAAAAAAAAAAAAGCCAGAGGCAGAGGACCAGCAAGATGGCTCAGCCACAGAAGCCTGTTCAGAATCTAATCCTTGGAATCCAGAGAGAAAGAACTCACTCCACAAAGTTGCCTCCAAACTTCACATGTGTGCCATGGCATACACACCACATATACACACACATGCACATGTGCATGCACACACAAAGCCATCTATATAGCACAAAATACAATGTTAAGTAATGGCTTTGTACTGATTGAAAAGTGTGTGTGTGTGTTTGTTTGTATATATAAATTTATAGTTTACAATATGCTATTTTGACCCATTTTTGCATTTTGAAATAACTAAACCAACAGGCATGTCCATTAACTCTGCAACTATTTTTGTGGTGAAAACATTTAAAATATAGTCATTGAGCAATTTTTAAATATACAACAAATGATTAAGTACAATTACAACAATGTAGCTCCTCCATATCTAACTGTAATTCTGTGCCTCTTATCGGTCACAATCCTGATCGACGCTACCCTACTCTCTTCTTCTAAGACTCAACTCCTTTACAGCCGCGGGTAACTGGGTTCTCGGAAGTGTCTGTCTATGTCTGGCTCATGTTGCTTTGCATAATGTCCCCAAGGTCCATCCATGTGCTGACTCTCTTTTCACTGGCACACAGCACTGTGTTGTGTGTGTACCACATTTCTTTATTCACTCCTCTGATGATGACCCTCAGGCTGATAGCTATCTGGACTGTTGTGAATAGAGCTTTGGCTGATACAGTATTGCCTCTGAATATATACTGATGAAGGAAATTCCTGGATCATGTGTCACTTCTTTTTGTAAATTTTTAGGCACTTAATGCTGCCTTCCATTTGCTTGTGTTGGTCCATGTTAACACTGACAGTGTGCACAGATCTTATTTCCTCCGAATCCTCACGAACATTTATCTCTCTTCTCTCTAACATGTGTGAAGTGATATCTCACTGATAGCTTTAAATTTTATTTCTCTAATGATTTGGGATGTTGAGAGTTTTTGTCACATGTCTGTCAAGTGTTTGTAGGTCACTTTTTGAGAAATTGCCTACATAGTTTCTTTGCATGTATTTTAATCAGTTTACATGTTTTCTTGAGCTATTGAGATCTTTATATATTTTGAATATTAATTCCTTATCATATGTGTAATTTGCAAATGTTTTCCCCATTTTATAGGTCATCACTTTGTTATTTTCTTTGTCATAATAAGGAATTTTTTCACTTAATGTAAACTCATCTCCTTTTTCAGTTTTGCTGCTTATGTTTTGAAGAGAAAAACTCAGAATATCTTTGGAATGACCCATGTCAACAAGCATCTCTCAGCCATTGGTTTCTCTAGTAGTTTTACAATCAGATAGTATTTTTAAATCTTTATTCAATTCTGAATTGGGTTTTGTGCATAGGATAAGAATCTCACTGTATGCTTGATGTGTATATCTAGCTTTCTCAGCTTCAGTCACCAAACTGAATATTTTCCCAATTGTGTGGTCTTAGTACCTTTGCTGAAGATTCATTGTCCATAAGTACATGTGTAGGAACAGGTGCGGGTGCGGGTGCAGGTATAGATGTGGAATTCCAGGCTCTCCACCTGTTCCATTTGTTTTTTATTACTACAGCTTCACAGTAGTTCGCCAGATCAAGCATTGTCTCACACAAAGGCACTTTGGTTTGTGAAATTAGTGTTGCTGGGGAGAGGGGGGTCCAAGTGATGGGGCCTCCTGTCCCATCATCTCACTGACTAGTCTGTTTTTATTTATTCACTAAACTTGGAAGACTGGTATGTATGTTTCCAGCCTGAATTCAATGCTTGATCTAGTCTGTTGTAACGACTTAAGAAACAAATAAACCTGGGTACAGTGCTGCTTGCCTTTAATCCCAGCAAGGTAGGCAGATCTTTGTGAATATGAGACCACTATAGCCTACATAGTGAGTGCCAGGATAGCAGAGCTACACAGTGAGTGCCAGGGTAGCCAGAGCTACATAGTGAGTGCCAGGATAGTCAGAGCTACATAGTGAGTGCCAGGATAGCCAGAGCTACATAGTGAGTGCCAGGATAGCCAGAGCTACACAGTGAGACCCTGTCTCAAAAAACAAAAGAGGAAAAGAAAAAACAGAAAAGAAAAAGAAAGAAACTTAGTGTTGACTCTTCTTAGCCTTGATTGGTTTAAATTTAAAAACAGCCATTGATCCTGGCCAGGCTGGGGAGAAAAAAAGTCCAGATGATCTGTTAACTATTCTGTCTTTTAAGGAAAGAAAGGGAAATACTGCAAAAACAAAATAAAAACAACAAGAAAAAAACACATGTTCAAAGATTTATTCTTCTATAATTATGTGAATGTGAAGGTTTACACACATGAGTGCAGGTACCATAGAGTCCAAAAGAGGGTGTCAGATCCTCTGCAGCTGATGTGGTTGTAAGCCATCTGGCATGGGTGCTAAAAACTGAATGCAAGTCTTTGACAAGAACAACAAGCACTCTTAACTGATGAGCCATCTCCAGGCAAGAACAGGAAACACTCTTAACTGATGAGCCATCTCCAGTCTCAGAACACATTTTTTTAAAAAATACTCTATAACATACCTACTGTTTTCACTAATGAAATTTACATGTGGCCTTCAGAAAATCTTAAGCAATTTCTCTCTTTGGCTCCTTGTCAGGCCACTTCTATGTTGGCTTAAAATTCTTTTCTCAGTAAGGTATATGTAAGTTCAGGGCCAGACTGGTCTATTCAGAGAGTTCCAGGTCATTGAGGACTACATGAGACCCTGTCTCAAAACAACAACCAAAATTCTTTTTTGCTTTTACATCAATATGGGCAAATTTGTTTTTCTTAATTATGTTAAGTCCAGAGTAGACACAATTACTCTTTTATTCCCTGGCCTTGATGGGGAAAGAATATCGAACTTAAATTTTACATTTTTACAAGGCCAATACCAAAAGTAATTTGTCAGAAAAAGAGTTAGGAATGAGATTAGGCAAAATGACCAAATGTGTGCAGCCATTTCTTGATCTCATTTGACTTGCTAGTATGCAAACAGACCCTTTCGTCTTTCCTGCTCTCACTTCAGACTTACTCTGTGGGGAGAGTTCTTTTCATCTCATAGATGAAGAGTCTCATAGAGCCCTGTCTCCGTACATCACAAGCCACTCCCATGCCAGTGACTAACCTGTCTAGTCCAGGGCATCTCAAATCATCATCCACAGGTCCATCCACTTGGAGCCTCTCCCTCCATCCCACCTTCATCCAAGAAGCCAGTAGAGTGAGAAGGGTTTATTGTTGGCTTATCTTATTGACCAGCTTCTCCCTACCCTGATGTCCTGAGCCCGTCAGAAATGATCAAATCCAGTATAAAAGGGAAAGCAGCAGGAACTACCATGGTCATGCCAAAGGTTTGGCAAATACTTTGTGTTCCTCCTTTCTCTCAACTGTTACATCTACAGGCATATTGAGACTCTTTTCCTGGAACTTTCTAGAGGTGACTCATGGGTCAGGGGAACTCTGGACACAGTGTTTCACTAGCTGGTCTGCAGCTCTCCCTCCTCCCGTCAGTTCACCGATCCACCGGACGTCCTGTGAATCTCTACCTTGTTTCTGCTACTCACCCCTGCCAGTCTATCTGCTCTGAGTCACTTGTCATTCATTCTGTTCTCCCCAAACTCCAGGAAGCACATGTCAAATCCTCTAAGTGACCCAAAGTAAGTCTCCTTTGCTTAAGATGAGTAACACCCCATCCCATTTTCCAAGGTGCTTCAACATTTCAACAATTCTCTTTAAATGATTTTTTCTCTCTTAAACTTCTTTAGCCTCTTCTTCAGTCTTTAGCTGTTCCTTGTACATTCTTGCTTTACATGAAGAGCTAAGGGTTATAACACTGCTTTTCAGAAATCTTGCTGTTAGGCATCTGATATCTGTGTGTCTATCACCTTTGGGACTTCAGTTGACATGGAAACAGGAAAGACTACACTTTAACATTGTACTATATAAACGTAGACAAAAATCACTTTACCCCAGCAGTAATGCCTACCAGGGAAATAACTCAAATAGAGAACAACCAATACAAAGTGGATTTGAAGTCTAAGTCACTTCCTTCCTCCTTTGTCCTCACAGGGAACAGCTGGATGAGATGCCATACACCACAATGTGCATCAAGGAGACACTGCGCTTGATTCCTCCCGTCCCATCCATCTCCAGGGAACTTAGCAAGCCCCTTACCCTCCCAGATGGACACTCGCTGCCTGCAGGTCTTCTCCTAAGCATGAGATTATGAAGTTCGCAGTGATGATGATTTGCAGGATTTAGAGCATTGGGGAACCTGTGGGTTGGAATTAGGCAGCTACTGAAAGTTCAGAGGATAATTCCTCAATCATGTATGAGCTTCAGTGACCTTCCTAAGCCATATAACCAACTGGAGAGCTGTTAGGTTTCAACCTCACTTTAAGAACCCCAACCAAGGATTTCATCCATTATGGGACATTATCTCTATGACATTATTTGTGAGGTTGAGTATGAGATCCATAGGACATGAGCGTCACTATATTAATGTAAGAAGGAGAGTCTTTATCACCATATCAACCTTAGAAGGGAATAATACTTCTCATTTTCCCCTTGGAGTGTAATCTGAACAGACATGTGGTCAGTACTCTACAGTTTACAAGCACTTGTACAATATTTTTAATCTCTCCAAAAACCCATTGGGGATCCCATATATGCACAAAAGGTTATCAGACATGAAGCAAAGCTAAAACTCATAGGGACCTTGTACTTCCTAAGCCATGTACACATGTCTGGGCAGGGCATGTAAGTGGCAGTAGGATCTCTTGAGACATTCTTTCACTGTGCTTTAGTATCAACAAGTCTTCAGGAGAACTGAGGCCAACCCTTCAACCTCTGTAATCTTGTTGACAAAACCAGAACTATTTTGGATAAGAAAATGACCAACCATATCAATATTTGTCCCAAGTCTCCACCTTTTACAAATGAACAGTGCCAAGAGAAACTCGTCACTGGTAGAATAACAGAACTGTCTCTATGAAGTACTGTCTAGCTGTTAACAAATAATTAAGCAATTTCCAAACAAAGCAGAAAACGTAAGCACAGTTTAGTGTTTTGGTGGGACACGGACAGCTTCCTAGGATAACATTATGAATTAAATAAATAACTGCTTTGAAAACTGAAGTTTAAACCCAAGCCCATCTCCACCTTGTCTTTCCCTGGTGGAGCATTGGCACACAGCTCAGCAGGAGCTAGCTAGCTCTTTTCTCCTGGAAAAAAAAAAGTCTTGACAGAGAGCACACTACAGCAGCCTTTGCTCTGTTTCCCTTCTGCCTCAGGAATGACTGTGGTTCTTAGTATCTGGGGTCTCCACCACAACCCTGCTGTCTGGAAAGACCCAAAGGTAAGATTGTCTTCTGTGGATATGTTTCAGAGAGTGATGCTGAGTGAGTCATGGGTCCACAGCTAATCATGCAAATGGCTGTACCGTGAAAGTAAATAACACTAGGCAAACAAACATAAAAGTTAGAAATGTGTAAAACTCCCCTGCTAACGATCCCGTCCTCACCTCATATTCTTTATCTTTACTGCGATCTGAAAGACCTTAGCCCCACAATCTGCTCCCAACTGTCACTGTCTCTGTCTCACTCCCTCACCCGACAAGCTCTTCCAAACCCCTGTGATGGGGGGGGGTGGAGGGGATGATATCTGCAGGGCTGTGGCTGGTCAGCAGAGTGTCTCTTCTATTGTATGAAGCAATCAAGATCCTGGTGCTCAGCTCCAACACTCCGTAAATATATGTAAATATATATATATATTTGTGATGCTATGGGCAGAGTTCAGGGAAAGCAAATGAGAATGGATAGCTTTCAGAACCATTTATCTTTATCTAGACCTGATAAGCCCCAGAAGGAAGGGTTACAGAACCTGGGGGGGAAAGAGTTAGCAGCTAAAGAGGAAACATCAGATAAGCCTATGTGGTAGAGATATTGCCAACTTAAGACTGTCAGCAGGAAGGAGCCGATGAACAGTCAACATCCCAAACTCTCTTCAGCCAGTCTTCAGATCCCCACCAATGCTTTGTATTATCAAAATCCAGTTGGAAACTACAAGAGCCAGCTGCCTTGGGGCCAGAACAGGCTCAGAAAAAGAGAAAGGAGGACAGGGACAGGCAAGGAGATGTGTAGCAAGCCTGACTTGATTTAATATTCTTGAAATTCAAAACACAAGTATTAGTGTTCTGTGTAAACTGTTGGGGCTTTAGATGTACTCTGTAGACTAGGAAGCTGGACCATTACGTCTCATTTGGGTTTGGCTTCTAAGTGTGTGAACTCTTAGACTGGCTAGCAGACAAGTTGAGCAAGAGCCAGACACGCCCTCCAAGACTATAGAGTCATTATTCATGTGACCACTGAGCAAGTTGGCTAATTGGAATCACAACGCAGAGTTTGAAGACAACTCTGTCTTCTCTCAAAGCGAAATATTCTTGAAAAAGAGAGATGTGTGCATCTCTCAAAAGTGAGATATTTCCCTAATATGTTGAGTACATGATAAGCGTTTGTTCAATGAAATCTATTATTAAAATTAATGTTGTCCCAAAAAAAGCCACAGGGTAGTGGTACATGACTTTAATCCCAGCACTTGGGAGGCAGAGGCAGATGGATTTCTGTGAGTTTGAAGCCAGTCTGATCTACAGATCAAGTTCCAGGACAGCCAGGGCTACACAGATAAACCCTCTCTGAGGAAAAAAAAACAAAAACAAAACAAAACGTAATGTTGTCTTCTTAGCATGTGGGCAGCAGAATGTTTTAAATTGCTTCTGTGGTGTGTGTTTTTGTTGATCAGCAGTAAGTAGTACCTTTAAAATGTGCTGTTGGCAAGACAGGGGTGTCTTCTCGTTTCAGGTCTTTGACCCCTTGAGATTCACTAAGGAGAATTCTGATCAGAGACATCCCTGTGCCTTCCTACCATTCTCCAGTGGTCCAAGGTAAGGTGAACTTAAAGCTGTGGAAAATTTGCACAAAAAGCTTACTTATGCCTATCAGCCCTTCAGCTTCATAAATTCCTTCCCAGAACCCATCTCTTCACAAAAAACTGCCTCTTTCTGTCACAGCCCATGTGAGTCAAGCCTCAGGAAGCAATCCTGCAGTATAAATATTGCTCACAGGCTCAATGTCACCTCCCCTTACAGGAGAAATATGTTGTGCGTGACTCCAACTGCCACCTACTCTAGGGAGGACATCATATCAGAACCTCCAAGTCCAAATTCTTGCAGGGAAAGCTATAAACATAAAGTCCAACAGTTTCAATGATATTTGGTGTGGAAAACTCTGCTTTACTGTTGTATGGTATAAGAGACTTTTTTTCCAGGAAGAAGTAACACAAACATATCTACTCACCCCAGAAAGATTACCCCCAACAGACCAAAGTAAATAAAGTATTAGAATCTAGTTTGCTGAGACGCCATGGCCAAGACAACTTATACAAGGAGTTTAGTGGGGGCTTACAGAGTCAGAAGGTGAATCCATGACTGTCATGAACAGGAGCAAGGCAGCAGGAATGCAGGTGTGATACTGGAGCAGTAGCAGCTGAGAGCTAATGTCTGATCTACAAGCTTGGGGGGAGGGGGGAGGGAGAGAGGGAGGGAGAGAGGGAGGGAGGGAGGGAAGGAGAGAGAGAGAGAGAGAGAGAGAGAGAGAGAGAGAGAGAGACTAACTGGGAATGGTGAGGCCCATCTCCCAGAGGCACACATCCTTCAACAAGACACACCTTCTAATCCTTCCCATACTGTTCTATCAACAGTGGGCCAAATATTCAAACATAAGAGCCTATTGGGGGCATTTCTGTTCCAACCACCACAAGCTGCATCACCCAACAGCCCAAGCCAGCACAAGTGATTGTTCACAAAAGCTGTCACCCTGGAGCTCTCTGCACAACTTGCAGGCATCTGAACAAGTCTGAGAGGATTCTGGGTAGCACAGCTGGTCAGTCTCCTTCCCAGCAGCTCTTTACTGCTTCTAGAACTCTGGGAAGGGGCCTCATGAATCTCCCAAGTCACAGCCTGAAGTCTGTTCACCTCTGGAGTTTCATAAGTCCCTTCCCTTCCTACTGCAGAGAACGTTTCAATCAGAGGAAACTGTTAAGGAGCTGTGGATTCCAGACTTATTATTCTAGAAACTTATCTCTTTCTCTCCTTCGGTGTCTACAGGAACTGCATCGGGCAGCAGCTTGCCATGCTAGAGCTAAAGGTGGCCATCGCTTTGATTCTGCTCCGCTTCCAAGTAGCCCCAGACCTCACCAGACCTCCAGGCTTCTCCAACCACACTGTCCTCAGACCCAAGCATGGAATCTATTTACACCTGAAGAAACTCTCTAAATGTTAGATACTAGGGGAAATGACTAAATTTCTGTTTGTTGTTAAGTTTGTTTTGTAGCCAATGGTCCAGGCAAATGGAGAAGAATCTAAGACTGGTGGAAGAGTTGCAGGACTGTGGGTTGGGGCATTTCTACAGCTGTACATTAGCCAAAGATATTTTCAGGTAACACATGTCACCCTGGATATGTATAACTTGGGGAGATTGTTAAATTATTTTCTAATGGTTATTATCAAGCTTATCTGAAGTGGGAATTTCTGAGTTCACTGGAGAGGCAGTTATGCCATGTGATGTTTTTCTGGAAGCTATCTTAAGAGAGGTTGTTTTTGCTGATGCAGACACATGAGAGGATGTTTTGCTGAGGACAGACACATTGTGTTTTTCTGGAAGCTGTCTTGTGGGAAAGGCATGTGATGTTCTGCTGAAGGAGATGCTTGAGCGGATACATGATGTTTGAAGAGAGTATAAGTATAACCCAACAGACAATGGACAGCGTTCTGGCATTGGTTCACCTTGCTTTCTTCACTGATCTTCACTTGTCCTGACTCCATAGAGAGAAACTCACCAAAAAGCTTCTGGTGGTGTTCAGCTGCTTCTTGTCACTTCAGTGGACTCCTGCCAGTTTCTTCTGGATCAAGCTGCTGCTGCTTTTTGTGTGGTCATTTGCTAGTGGACTGGACTGCTGACAGTGAAGATTGGAATCACCTCACGGAACTATTTCTAAGTAGGTCCACGTCCTCCTTGTCTTATTAATGATCTTCCTCCCCCACCTTTGGTCAGTGGGGTATAAGGGAGGTTGAACCATTAAGAATCTTTATTAAAGTAGGCTTTGGAAAACCTAGGCATACACCTATCACTACGTGACATCTATGTTATTTTCTGTTTTTTAATTGTTTTTGGAATTATACAAGTAACAGAATTTATGCTGAATGAAAACCATTTCCAAAACTAGGAGGTGTACATAAAACCCAACCTCACCTGATCCACTGCCCTGACAGAGCCTACTGCTTTCCCTAAAAGCAGAATTGATTTGCATTCTTCCTGACTCTTCCCTGCATATTTCATAAATAATGATTGTGTGTGTTCTTAGACATGTGATCATATTTGTATTGTTCTTGCTTTTTCTCACTTAATAAAAAAATTCACCCTAACCATTATTACAAGATTGTGATATGTGAGTGTTATATGATTTATTTTAAAACATTTCTATTATTGGATAATTAAATTAGTCATAATTCTTAAATGCATTTATTGACCTTTTCTCTGCTCATCTCTCTCTCTCTGTGTCTCTCTGTCTCTCTGCCTCTGTCTCTGTCTCTCTCTCTGTCTCTCTCTCTCTGTGTGTCTCTGTGTGTGTGTGTGTGTGTGTGTGTGTGTGTGTGTGTGTGTTTGTGTGTGTGTATTCAGGTACACATGTGTATCCGGGTGTGTATTCACATGTGTGCACATGCATATAGAAGCCAGAGGTAAGTCTCGGGTATCATTTTTCAGGTTTCATCTGCCATGCTTTTTTAGACAGGATCTTTTACTGGCCCAAAGCTCACCCAGTAGGTTAGGCTAGATGGCTACTGAGTCTCATGACCTGCCTGACTTTACCTCTCCAGCTCTGGGATTACAAGCATGTGCCACCCCTCCCCCATGCCTCATTGTTTCCACACAGGCTCTGGGGATCGAACTCAAGATTTTACCTATGAGCTACCTATCTAGTTCCTATCTTTATGGAGACAACACTATCTATCTTTGGATTTGTATGATGGTTTTTCTTAGTTATCCATATATTCTTCATTTATTATGGATAGTAATTCTTTCTTAAAACTTTTCTTTGTAATATTTCAGATTTCTTTACTCTTATTAATTTGAAGGCATGGTTATTTTAAATATGAGATACTTTAATTTTAATGATGTAAGATTGTATGCACACTTTCCTTTATGGTTTCTTGGTTTTGAATCTTAAATAAGAAAGTCTATATACAAAAATAGCATACTTACATTTCTGGTGCTAACTACTCTTATGAAGCCTAAATGTGAACCACTTAGTGATTTATAAGTGCATCACTCATTGGAGCCTAATCAGAAATTAGATTAATTTTTAAGTACAGAGGAAGTCCTTTAAAGGGCTTTCAACCAGAGATAGAACTAGAGTGAACTGCACTTTAAGAAAGTTTTTCTGGGCATAGTGATGCATACCTATAACCCCAGCACTTGAGAGGCTAAAGCAAAAGAGTCATAAGTTCAAAACCAGCCTGAACTACAGAGAAAGAGGTGTGTGTGTGTGTGTGTGTGTGTGTGTGTGTGTGTGTTTCTGTCAGAGGAGAGAGCGTCTGTGTGTGTGTTGCATCTGTTGCATGGATAATGAACAAATGATGATAGGATAGAAGGGGACAAAAGGAGAAACCAGAAGAAAGGGACACAATCAGAATGCTAGGTCACAGATTAGAATAGATGCTGGATACTTAGCTGGCAGAAAAGAGAAGGTGGTTTTCCCAGGACAAGGCTCATCCATTGCTAACCCCTGAGACTTCCCAAATGTGGAAAACTTGACTTGTAGTTGGGACTGTGTTCATGTTCTCCCCTGGATTAGAAGAAAAAAAGTAGATGGTGCTTGCCAAGAATGATGGCGGTCGACTTTAGGGGAAATGAACACGAAGGTGACTTTGATGGCATTTAGGAGAGTAAAGAGAACTTGTGGATTGACTGGAAGTGTGAATAAAGAGGCAGAACCCAAGAGTTGAGAAACTGACCACCGTCATCCTGTCCAATTACAGGAAGACTTCAGAGAATCAGCCTCCTCTCTGTCAGTCCATTTTCTGGACATTTTAATTATGGGGAATTATGGGGAAAATCAGCCAAAGGTGCTAACAAACATGGCAGCCTAGTACAAAGAGGGATGACATGTGGAGACAAAAATTCCCTTCATCAGACAGAAAATCTACCGTCTCCAGATTAATAAAAGCCATATATCTTACTAATAGTATATGAAGAGATAAAGAAATGTAGCCTCAAATATAATGATACCAAATCTCCCTACAGATGCAGCTGGCAGATTCACACAACTGTAACATGCTCTTGCTTTCCTGTTGTCTCCTCTGTGCCCACAAGCAAAGCTGCAGAAGCCCAGAGCTATGGATACCTGGGGAGATCCCCTTGCTTCACTGTGAAATTGGTACTTAACCAAGTAAAACTAAACAGGGGCTTCACTAATTACAGCAACTATGGCCTGAGTGCCTGAGTTACTCCATAACCGCAGCGGTGAAGATCCCAGAGACTTCCTTTACAAGCTAACCTGTGGCCTGGTGGAAAGTTGAGTGGTTCTTGATTACTGAGTTCTACAAGCTGTGATAGCATGTGATCAGCATTGCCCCAGATACCGTTTCAGTTTTAAAGGATGCGCCACAGTGATGCTTACATTACAATCTGTTTCTAGCAGAGGTGACTCAGCATCCCTCCCACATCCTTTGTCCACTCCTACATAAATAGAATTCTTAGCTGGGCACATAGCTGCCAGCTACAGAGTATATTCTCTGTCTCTGTTATCATCTGTGTATCCATCTTTGTCTCTTGGTCTCTCTTTCTCTGTCTCCCTCTCTCTCTCTGTCTCTCCCTCTCTCTGTGTGTGTGTGTCTTTCTGTCTTTCTTTCTCTTGTCTTTCTCCCTCTCTTTGTCTCTCTGCCTCTCTGTCTCTCTGTCTCTCTCTGTCTCTGTCTATCATCTCTGTATCTGTCTTTGTCTCTCTCTCTCTCTCTCTCTCTCTCTCTCTCTCTCTCTCGGTCTCTTTCTCGGTGTGTGTGTGTGTGTGTGTGTGTGTTTGCCCGTGCACATTCACGTGTGTGTGTGTCTGTCTGTCTGCCTTTCTCTCTGTCTTTCTCCCTCTGTGTGTCTCTATCTCTGTCTCTCTGTCTCTCTGTCTCTCTCTCTGTCTCTCATGTGTGTGTATGTGTGTGTCCCTTTTCCTTCTCTGCGTGTGTGTGCACATGCACATGCATGTGTATGCGTAGGCCAAAGACCAACACTGAGAATCCTTTTTTGTCTTTTTTTTCTTTTTTTCTTTTTTTTCTTTTTTATTCTTTTTTTAAATTTATTTTTATTTATTTTTTTAAATCAAATCATAAACTGAGAATCTTTTTCAACCACTCTTCACCTTATTTTTAGAGACAGGGTCTCTCACTGAACTTGGAGCTTGCCCATTCAGCTAGACCCAGGGTTTGTCCTGTGTACAAACTGCAGTGCCTAGCTTTTCACATGGATGTTACAGATCCAAACTCAGCAGCAAGCACTTTATCAACTAAGCCACCTCCCCAGCCTGATCTTTCAGTGAGATATATCATACTTTCAAATATTAGGCAGAACTATGAAAAGAAGTAATGTAGTTTATCTCAGGCTAATATCATCGAAAGGAAAGGTGTGTGCAGTCTACTTCCTGTTTATTTCCTTATTTGAAGACAGATGTGGTGACAGAAACTAGAGCCACTAACTTATATTACCTCCTGAAAGTTATGTGTTGAAGATGACAGAACAATGCAGACAATACATAGAACAAAGCGCCCCACTAGCTCTAGGCCATCTCCCTCCTCAATGCTTCAGTGTGCAAGACTATTAAATTGTCCTATTAAGACCTTACTGTTATGGTAGCCTACACAAACAATGCTTTCCTTTATATCTCTCTAGATAATCAAGAGCTCTAAGCTTCAAAGCTTTATAAATATTAAACTACGTGTCAAAACTTTAATGTTAAAATAAACTCCAGAAAAGAATGGGATGACTTCCATACCCAAACAGCCACTCCCACACCAGGACTGGCATAAGGGAACAGACATCTTAAAGGAGCCACGGAGGCCTGAACAAAACACCATGACTCGTTCCCATTGCTCTCCACCCCCACCCAACCTGGAGATAACGCACAAGCAACAACTGATGCTCAGTCTCTTAAGCACTGGTCTTGGTTGTGCCATGTGGTTTAGCATGCCCCACCAAGCCGCAGATCATGTCATCATTTACTCTTTATCTTCTTT